GTAGGGAGCACTATGTCACTTCACTATTCTGCCCATTTGCTGTCCTGGTTCTCAGACCTTGTCCTTTCAGCAGACTTTGGGTGGATGTTTGACTTTCTTTTTGGCGAGACAGAGGAAATGAGCAAGTATGTGAAAACCTTCGAATGGCCACTCCCTAAAGGCAGCAAGAAACTCCAGAGAGCCCCACAGACTCTTGTAAAATGTTGTCTAGAGCTCAGGGAATGTCTGGATTTTCTCCCCAGGGAGCCTTTCTCACTTTGGAGCATCCTTAGAGGAAACCACAGGAATCTGGAAGGCCTTTCTGCAACAGGAGACATTGAGAGAAACCACTCTGACTTACCTCGATGTGGGAGGCATCTGTTTCATTTGTGCTTCTCCGTTTCCTGCCCCGTTTGGGGTAGCCATTGATCTTACACTCATAACAAGCCTCTGGGGAGAGTGAATTGTCATCCATTTCACCACTGGCAGGTGGCTCTGGGCCTCCTCGGCCCACACCCATTCCAGAAACACAGTGCCTGTGGTAGAAGGGGAGCACGGACATTTTTCATGAGAAGCGGGCAATAAGGGAGGCGGTGTGAGAGTTCTGGTGAAGCCTGGACCCAGCCTGGTAACGTTCAGCCATTGATTATTTGTTCACTGGATGAATGGCTGGTTCTGAGAACCGCATTGAAGTCCTCTGTGTTTTGCCTCTAACCCTCGATTCTCTGAGTTAATCGGTTTGTGTTTCCTTTCTGTCAAGGCCCTATTTTGTACAACGATTTGTCCTTTCGTTCCCCAGACCTAACGTGGCAGATGTTCTGCTTTCCTTATGCTGGGGAAGAGACATGCAATGCAAACAAGAGACGAACAGGGTCTGAGGGAGACCATGTGATTTAGGAAGTTAAGTAAAAAAGTCATTTTTTATGAAACAAGCTCTATGGGAGTGAGAAAGGTGTAAGACATCCCTGTTCGGTTCCTTGCCCTCTTTCCTCTCAACTGATACTATCACTGCCACCACCACTATCACCACCCTTCAGAACTCCAGCTTTTGAGCAATTTCTTCTATTATTTGGCCTTTCACTTTGGCTGAAGTTCCTGAAGAAAGCTCTATGTGATACCTGAGGTTGATTTAGAAATAAATCGTGAAGCTACGCAATGTATAAAATACAAGTATCAAAGCTTGCCCAACTGTGGGAAATTGTTTCAAGTCATTCAAAACCACTAGGGCCATTGGCTCTGACTCATGTGAGGCTGGACAAACAAACCCATGCCCAAGAGAAAACTAGTTCAGCTGTTTTTCTTTGCCTTTCAGTTATCAAAGCCAAGTTGTGAAGGGAGGCTTGCATGTTTCACAAGTACCTTGTTTTTTTATTCTGCTTACTATTTCATAGGCCACTTGGAATGTATTTACTAGGCTCTCCTTTCAAAATGTGTTGAAACATCCGAATGACTCTAAAAGAATCTTTATTTTGGGGCCTGGTCCACTCTAGTGATTCACAGGGAAGCCAAAACTATTGTAAATGGATAGACTTCTAATGGGTCAGACCAGAGATTATTTATCTATTTTTTGTATTAGTTGGGCTACTCTTTGTAACCCATCTTCCTTTATGCCCTTAAGATTCAAAATACAATGCCAATGAGCAGAATATTTTTTGTATTTTTCAGTAATTTACAGGTTCTTACGATTTTCTGCAATCCTGCCAGAGCTCAATACATTTCCTTTCCTCTTTATCTTGCAACATGAAATGTGTAGAAACAATAAAAATGGATGAAATAATAAATGTTCATCCTGTGCGTGTGTATACATTCACATAATGATTAAATTATTGGAGGACAAATCCCAAATTTGCAGGCTTTGGTTCCTTTCTCAGAACTCTTTTCCAGTATTTTCATATCCCTGAAACACCACTTATAAGAAGGGAGACTACAAAGCTCCACTGGCCAGGAGCCAGTGTGGAGTGTCACAATTTTTGCTGGGAAAATGGTTCTGGCATTAAATGTATAAAGAATGAGTCTCCTGAGAGCCAGACACAAACATCTGGGAATTTGTGTCCTATGGCTGGCATTCTGTGTGCTTCTCATGAAACATTCTTTTATGTTCAAGTCTACATAGACCCCAAATGAATCAGCTGGAGTTTGTGTCAAGAAATCAAAGACCATTAAATTAATAATTTGACAAATACATGTATATGTATATTGTGGAATATGTAACTTTGTGTGGGGTGTGTACATGTGTGTAGGGGGAGAATATATGTCTATATGTATATTTAATGTTTTTGTGTTCCTAATTAAAAAATTATAATTTGAGATCCTTCACAGGATAGCCAAAACTAGAGAGACATCTAAGTCCAAATTAACTCAGCAGAGAAAAGGACCTAAACTTCGAAAACTTACCACCGAACTTTTAAAACACAGTAAAATAAAAATAGGTCTTCCTAGCCCCAACTCTCATACATACAAATTTATTTGGAAAATATAATAATTATTTTAACCCTCATTTTAATTCTCTTTTGGAAATTTTTAATGTAAATTTAAGTTTGGAATGTAAAATATACTTTAAAACCACAAAGGACCTCATAAAAATGCATCCTTTTGATTTATCCTAACAGGAGTTTGACAAGAAGGCACTATAAGTCAAGACAGAATACATCTTGCCCAAGAAGATTGATAAATCAGCAATATGCAAAGTGAGCCCAGTTCTGCCATGGTCAGTCCTTGTATTTCTGGAGAAATAATCACTTTCCAACGAAATGTGAAGATCAAGAGAATGAGATAGAGAAGCCATATGTTGAAGTATTTACAATGTAGTTTCATTATTTTGTTTGATGTTCTATGATTTTCCAGAAATCTAGATGTCCTTTTTTCAAATAAAAAACATAAAACTTTTGCAGAGCTAACTGGATAACTCAAGAATTATGAAAAATATGTTTTTCCTCTACAAAAATAGGTCATTTTGAGTTAAATATACTTGATTACGCTGTGAATGGGAGGGCCTCCAACCAGGACCACGAAGAGCAGTGCTTACCCTTGGCCTATTCGGAAGTAACCTGGTGGACAGCCACACAGGTAGCCGCCCTCGGTATTGGAACAGCCATAACTGCAGGGAGCCTGTGAAGAGCCACATTCGTTGATGTCTTGGCATCCTCCGCTGAACTGTTCGTACTGGAAGCCGGCAGGGCACATACACTTGTAGCTCCCCAAGGTGTTGTGACAGGAAGCTCCTCCACAAATGTGAGCACTGAGACATTCGTTTTCATCTGCAGGGAGAATGAGAAGACAAGGCATATGTGATACCGGCCAGAGGTTTCAAATGAGGCGTCTGGGTCAGGCCACTTGCTATTGGCCAGCTGGTCTTTGGCTAGGCTCTCAGGGAGGTAAGGCAGGTAGGTAGAGGTGGCTGGGATGGAGAGAGGAACAAGAGAGAAAGATATGGAGATGGTTGTGGACTTTTGCCATGTAGTGAGCAAATGTGAGTGACAAGGTCAAATGCATCAGACAGAGCGCATTAGAGAGTGACATTCTGAGGACCAACAGACTCCAATTCTCGTCGGAAGCCGAAACTAGTATGTTCTGCTCTACATGGGCATCCTGTGAAGAACGTGAGGCTGGTCCATAGCTAAGGTTCAGAGTTCAGAGTGGGAGGGAAGAAATCATGCAGTTCTCTGTGCAATGCGATGGCTATCTCCAAAGCAAACACCAACTATAGTCCTGGAGGGTGATTTCCTAGTCCTCCTTTTTCAGGATGTGTGGGGCTGGCAAGAGCTGACATCCTGTAGGAAATGTCTGCCCTACTTGGACTTCCTTTTCAAAAATCTCCAAAAGCCCCCTGGTGCTTGTCCTGGGGATGAATAGTGTCTTCTGGTATGTCTGCTCCCATCTCTGAATGGACCCTCCTTATTTAAACCAGCCTCTTCCCAGAGAGTCTGGGCTGTGTCTACAGCTAAGTATGGTTGGAAGAGATTCTTGCAAACTTCGTGAGCAATAATCCTGGAAAACCCACAAGAGAGACAGATGCTGCAGACTGGCTACCCACAGGGAACTGCCAAGTCTGATAGTAATAAGCAGGAAAAAAAACGTCTAACTTTAAAAATCAACCTGAAGGGAGGAAACCTCAAGTTTCTCATTATGTCTAATGTATACTTTTTTGAAATCTCTAGTATATTTTTGTAGACCTGCCTTTGCAGCGCAGGTTGAAAGCTTGCTGGTAAGACATTTCTTAATCGCTGCAGCTCATTTTCAGCTATATGTTCATTCGAATTAAGGTAAATTGGCCTTCTTACTTAGCAAATATTTACTTCCAATGGAAGGGTGGTGGGAAGGGTAATTAACATTTATTAGATGCCTGCTGTATGACAGATAGGATACTAAGTGCTTCACATTCATTTACTACCTTCCTAACAATCACAGGAGGTAGGTATTACAATTCTTGTTTTAGAGATGAAGAAAGTGAAACTCAGAAAGCCCCTCTGAGATACCCCAGCAGCAGCAGTGGGGTGCAGATGCACACCCATGTCTGTCTGACTGCAAAAGCCATCAGCTTTCTTTTGTACCCCAATGTCTCTCAAGAGACTTGGCTCCATTTAAACTGGTTTGTCTTTTCTCCTTTAATTAGTTTAACCTCTCCCTTCCTTTCTTCTTTCCCTCCCTGGCTCCTTCCTTCTTTCCTGTGTGTTGTTACAGGAAGAAGGTGAGTACTTACACAATGAGAAAGCTATTCATTGAGCTGCCTGCTATGGCTCAGCATCCAGCTCCAAGTCTATTTGAGGATCCTCTATATTTTAAGTACCCACGCAAGATCACTTGGGCTCCAGGGGACAGAAACAATTATATATGCCATTGCCTGTGTCCTTTTCCCCGTATTTTAAATTAGAAACAAGGTATGAGATATAGACCAATGGAGACTGTAGGCAGCAAAGAATGAATGAATGGGGAACCAAGGGTGTTTACTTTAGTGGAGAGACTATCCCTGGGCTGGATGTCCTCCTTTCCCTTCCATGTTCATCTCCAGACTTTCCACCTGCTCTCAGCCCCAGGAGGTACATCTATACGAAGCATAGATAGGCTCTTCTTCCTTGTCCTGTGCTTTTGGTTGGGCTCAGCCATTTTTTGAGATTCGACTGATAAAACCTCTGAGGCATGGGTATATGTGAGAAAAGACCTGTTAACATAGAGCTTAGATGTTTTCTGCTTTGTTCTAAGGGGCAGAAATAACCAATGGTTAGAAGTTGGAGGGAGAAAAAGTTCATTCTCTATGAAAAAGACATTTCTAAGAATTAAAGTTTTCTATTTGTGGGCTGGCCCATCTTGGGAGAAAGTGAATGGCCTTCGATGTCATATTCGAGTCTAACTTGGATGATGGAAGGTTGGAAAGGATTTATATATTAGGAGTAAGGTCAGACTAGATAATCTCTAAGGTTCCGTTTAACTTTGAGCATCTGTGTTACTATAAATATCTATTCCAGTTAAGAACTCTCCCCCTCCCCTTTCATATTCTTTTCCTATTTTATTTTACTATTTTTTTCCTCCCTGAGAATCCAATAAAGTTTAAATTAAACTTGCTTATCTGGGTTGAAGAGGTGGGGTAGAGTGGAGCATGAATTAAGATAAGAAATTGGCAAATGTGCAAAGTTTACAGCTTAAAAATGCTCTGTCCACTCACCCTTTTCTTTTATCAATATACAAACACCACAGTTTGTTTAACATGTTTAGCACCTTTTCTGACCATTCTCATCCTGTGCACCCTGGACCAAGTGGCTCCACCAGGAATTTTTCTACACTCCAAAATCTTTGTTTTATTCTTTTAGTTGGTACTTATTTTGGTGAGAGTTTTGTTCTTTTTATAAAAAGAGACAATTCTAACTTTATTGAAACAGCCTTAGAGCAACCTAAAAATACTCCTTTAAAGCAGATTGAAATCTACCCACTCTGTCTTCTAAAATCAAAGGTTCTGGCCTTTGGCTTGCATAAGTGTATGTTAGTCGTGGCATTAAGGGAGGACCATTAGGAGAATTCCCAAATGTAGGAGGGGCTTTCTTTTACTAATTTTCTCTAGGTCAAAAAGGATCAACTCTAACCACAAGCTGGAAGTTTGATATTTCTTAGAAAGCAATGAATCCAGTGGCCCCTGACCCCCAATCCATCCATCTTCTGAGCATGAACATTGGGCTGCCTCGGAGTGAGGATCCAGTCAGCGCTGGCCCGTGAAATTAGCTCTGCTCTGCGTGGCTCTGGGGAAGCCATTCTGGCCCAAGGCAATATTCATTCTGGATAACTATAATTCTCAAGAATTATGAGCCCAGTTTGGACTGGTATATATATTTTAGGCATCAAAATTTCCGAAACCTTTTATCGTTTCTTAATTGACTTATTCTTCTGTAACTCCCAACCAGGAGATGATCTTCCTAGGGCCAAAGCATAATCTCCAGGTAACTAAGGCATGACCTGGCCATCTCTACTATCCCCAGACTGAAGGTAGGGAGGGAGGGTAAGCTCAGGAGTGGTAAACCTCATCTCTCTTATTCTTTTCCCCACAACTTCAATTTCATCCAAGGAACCTACATTTTAAGGGCAGATGGGCCTATATACTGGGTATTGAATCAACATAGTTCACTCCAGAAGTTCTGTAGACAGTGTCAGAAACTGATGATTAAAATCTAAGACCTTCCTGAGCTGATAATGAACAAAAGCATTTTTTATTAAAACCAGGCAGCTGTTCAGCAAGATGTACAGTCTAAACTCTTCTAGCATGAGGGTCATTTTAGCCAACCCCACTCACTTCTCCAAAACTGTGTCTTGTAAGGAATCAAACCAAGTGAGTAAGACATAATTCTGATGAATGAAAACACAACAAATGTGTCTTCATTTGGAGTAAAGTAAAGCATCACAAGGTAGAGTAGCCCTGCAGGAAGCAGAAATTCTCCGTGTCTTTGCTAAGAAAGGCTCTGTATCCAAGAGTGTGGCAACTAGGACAGGTCACCCAAGTACCATGCTGGCAGTGGAGCTTGGTAGATACTTTCTGAGTGAAAAAACAAGTAACTGTGAACCTTGAGAGGCAGCCCTAAATCGGGAAGTTATGAGCCTTGGGTTCTAGTTCTAGGCATGTCACAAAAGAACCAATAAGGACAGATTACCTTTCCTCCCTGGGCTTCTAGGTCCTCAACAGTAAAACAAAGAGCTTGGGCTGCTAAATGGATCTGGGGTCCCTCTAAACTTGCAAAGTTCGGATTCTCTGATGCATATTAAGAGTTATTTTCCCATGACATTGTGGAATCAAAATTGACATAATTCCAATTTAATGAAAGTCTTAATTTTCAAAAGAATTTAGCAATCTTGAAAAAGCTTGCTGTATCTCCTGCTTGGCCTTCTGTCTCAAAAATGTGTAGAGCTAAATGGAACCACTTCTGTATCTTTAAGCCAAAAGTCACTCATAATATCCTCTAGCTGCCTGTTATTTTTCAGTCTTAAGAAGGATTTTGTTAGTCCCTGGTGTGAACAGAAGTCAGGTGTGGGCCAATGACTATCAATGCAGTAGAAGGACAGAGGGATACTGGGAGTCAATAAATTGACTTCAAAAGAAGTTCATTTCAAATGGCCTCAAAATGCCTTCTACCATTATGTTTTTCTTAATTTGCTATTTTGTAAAAGCGAAAACCCTCCTCTGGTTTCAAACAAATTAGGGCAATTTTAATTGAGTACCTGTTGCTTCAGTGACAAGTTAAAGTTTTCAGAAAGAAAGAAAGCAGCATATTGACTCATAGGAACTTATAGCAATTCATCTTGCTAACAAGGAAAAACTACTTGCCAACACACTGGTTCCATTGGTAATGCTGGAGATAGCCCTGGGGGCAGCTGCACCTGTAGCCCCCGATGATGTTCTGGCAGCCATGCTGGCA